CACTCTGGGAGGTGGAGGCGAGAGGATTGCCTGAGCCCAGGGGTTCGAGACCAGCCCAGGCAACTTGATGAGACCTCCTCTCTACAGTAAATCAAAATATTAGCTGGGCATGGTCGCGTGTGCCTGTGGTTCCAGCTACTTGGAAGCTGAGTCTGAAGGATCACTTGACCCAGCAGGTCGAGGCTGCGGTGACCGTGAATGTGCCACTGCACTCTAGCCTGGGCAACATAGTGAGACTCCTACTAAAAACAAAAATGCTGTTTCTTTCTGGTTTCAATGGAAATACTACTTATAATTTTTCTCCCAGTTTAGTATTTGTTTTTAATGAACTCTGTTTCAGTTTGGCCATTAGGTGTAATTAGATTGTTAGCTGTTATTTCAGCATATCTGGTCATGTTTTGTTGTTGGTTCTTGTGCTGGGTAACAGAGTGATATGTGAAACAGCAGATAGGGCTCACCATCGGGCCTGGTCTGGGAGCAGATCTGCGGGGAGGAAGTCTCCTGGCAGGTGTGCAGTGGGCGCAGTTGTCCAGGGCGGAGAGGAGGGGCCTGTGCGTTGTTCCTTTCCTACTTCTTGGGTTGAGTGACACACAGAGATCATTGGCCCATCAATTGGAAGGGATTTATTACTTAATTACCTTGGATAGACTATAAAAGATGACACATTCTTGTCCTTTTAAGTTGCTTTCACTTTGTGGCTCACTTGTGGCAAGTCACACACCCCAAGGTTCAAGCAAAGAACATCAGATGCTGCCAGTCCCCTCTGTGCATTAAGACACTAATTGACGATTACTGCCAGCAAGCACCTTTGAACAGATGCTTTATAAGGTAATAATACAGTTGTGTGTTGCTTAAGGATGGGGACTCAACCGGAGAAGCCTGTCCCTAGGAGGTTTTGTCAGTAGGTGCGCCTACACAGGCCTTGCTGTGTAGCCTGCTGTGGGCCTGGGCTGTGTGGCGTAACCTCCTGCTCCCAGGCCACACACCTGTTCCTGTGCTGCTTGCTGTCGCAGCTGCCACACAGTGGCCAATGTTTGCTTGTTTAACGAAGGCCTTCCTGGCCTTCCCAGAGCATTCATCCTATTTGAGGAGGTGACATAAATGAGTAAAAAATGAGAAGCATAAAGACACAGGGTCTAGGTAGCCACGGCAAATTCTGTTTACAGAATTCTTAGGCAGGGCTTTACCTGTGGCAGAAAGCAGAGAAGACACCAGTCGGTTCCCTTTTGTCTAAAAGAGAGTAGCAGTCTGGGAATTCTGAGGGTGAGAGAAGTGGAATGCAGAACTCTGGGAAGGCAGGCCGCATGTCCGCTCACCACTGCCTGGCCAGTGCCTGCCACTGTCCCTGAGATGACAGGCTGTCAGTTAAGACAGGTTGAATAAGTGGCCATGTATCTGTTGAACGAGTTGAAGAGAGCCTTGAAGGCGAGGGATACTTTATTTGGGCAGAGGTGAGATGTGAAGGCTTGAGAAAATACTGGGAGGTGGAAATGATTGCAGAACACAACAGAAGACCAACCTGAGCAGAGGTGTGGGAATGAGCTCGAGGAAATAAGCCAGCTAACGGTAGATTGGGGTCAAATTATAAGCAGCTTTGATGGCTGGATTTGGAAATTGGGGTTTGTTCTTTAAGCAGTGTGGACTTTGAAGAGCTAGTGGCATCATCAAAGCAGTGCTTTAGGAATAGTCTGAAGACCGGGTGCAGGTGGAGATGGGGAGAGACTGGAATCAACCTTGAGGCCAGCTGTGATGTAGCACTGGGTAGGAATTCCTTCAAAATAAAGTTCCATAAAATAAATCATGTTTTTCATACATGATATGTAAAGGCACTTCTTGAGCCCGAGGGACTGAACATAATGACATAGCTGTCTTTTTCAGTATTTATTTTTCCATGGCATTTTGTTATAGATCTTTCTGGCTTTTCTGTGATATCATGGTATAAATTTTGAATATATTTGTTCTTCCCTTATTTGTCTTTTGTTAATGTCAAGCAAAGCACATGAGACGTTCCCTGTTGCTATGCAACTGCTAAATTCAATATTTAGTATTAATAAAAGTGAGTGGCATTAACATCCAGTGAACAGAGGGTAGCAAAATATGGCTTTATAGTATCCAATCAATAATATTTGCAAGGTTTACTATATTGTTGCAAGTATGTACAAAAGAGGAGTGACTTGTTTACAGTTGCTATTTTGAGCAAAATTAGTTGTGGTTAAATCTTGGAGTTTTTTTTTTAATAAAAGAGATTTATTTGGCTCATCGTTCTGGACACTGTGAAGTCCTAGATGGAGGACCCCCCTTTGGTGACTGGTGACTGCTAAGAGCATTTTTACTGGGCCATAACATGGCGGAAGGTATCACATGGTGAGAGGATGAGAGTGAAGAGGCGGGGAAGCAAGAAGGTCAAATCTTTGAGTTTATGACCAGGTGTTTGTTGTTGTTGTTGTTGGCTTGCTTTTGTTTTTCTTTTTCACTGCTTTTTGATCTATGAATCAGTTTTTGTTAGCGTCCTCCTGTTACTGAGGATGTTCTACTTGATTTTCTTATTTCAGATTCTATTCTGTGTGGTTTAAAAATTTTTTATCTCCCAAAGCCTGTATTTTCTTTTTTCTTTACTAGTATTATTCTTGCTATATTGGCATTTTTCCCTTTGAAGAATTTATGCTTAGCATGCATGTTTGGAATTTGTTATGGTTGCATATAAACCCAGGTGAAAGAATATTAGATTTGCTCTTCAAGATAAGAGCTGCCTATAATCTCCTTTAGCTATTTGCAGTGTGTATTTGGTACTTTCAAGGTATTGAAATACTTTAACTAGTAATAATGAAATAAGACTTTTTAGGGGCAAGTAGGAAAACTTAAGAGTTAGAGACTGGCTGTGTGGTGTTTAACTTGTTTTTAAATTAGCTAGTTGTATGTCTAGTCTCCAGGTCCCCAAGGTAAGATAAAAAATAGCAATTTCTTCTCATCCTTTTACCGTCACATCCCTGCACTTGCAACCCTACCCCAACCCTTTTTTCCCCCTAGTGTGGGGAAGAGAAGGGGCCCTAGTAATTTGGTGGAAATTGTTTTAATTTTAGTAGGTAGATAGTTAGCAGACATAGATACCTCCCATTTGTTTGAGTATTTTGATTTTGCTAATGTCTGTGAATAATTTTGATGAAAAGTAAGGAGAGTCGAATAACAGTTCCTCCCTTATTTAAATGACAAATCTAGAAAAATCATGTAGTGAGAAAAATATGAATGTATGTAGAAAAGCATGTAATGTAGAAAAATTAAGTAATTATAATGTAGCTAACACAAACTCTACAGATTACCTTATTGAAAATGATGGCTTAATATGGGGGCAAAGAAATCCCTTACATTACATTCTTATTTTTAGAGCCAGATAAACAAAATGCCGCTTCTAGGAACTATTTTTTCTACCTCCTTCCACATCTTTTATTTCAATTGTATTTATGATACAGAAATAGACAAGAGGGCCGGGCTCGGTGGATCAGCCTGTAATCCCAGCACTTTGGGAGGCTGAGGTGAGTGGATTGCCTGAGCCTACGGGTTCGAGACCAACCCTGGCAACTTGGCGAGACCTCGTCTCTATAATAAAATAAAAAATAGCCAGGTGTGGTAGCGCACGCCTGTAGTTCCGGCTACTTGGAAGGCTTAGGCGGAAGGATTGCTGGAACCTAGCAGGTCGACGCTGGGGTGGCCGTGAGCTTGTGTGCCACTGCACTCTAGCCTGGACGAAGCAGTGAGACTCCAACTCAGGAAAAAAAAAAGAAAAAGAAAGAAATAGACAAGAGTATGGGGCCCTCCTGTATCCAGCAGGCTGTCATATTTTAAATAGTGGCTCCCTATCTTTTAAGCATAGGAGTGGTTTTTAACAGTTAAAAAACAAATCACAAGTCCCCAGGTGAAAAGGCTATATGACAAAATACATAGTGTCCTAAATTACTAGGAATTCAGTAACACTTCTACTATAACAGAATTCCTGTGCATTTGAAAAGTAGTGTGGATACTGAATGCACAGGGTGTGTTTCTAATGGTCCCACTGAGACATGTTTCTAATTTCTAGTACATGGGGACTCGTGGACCTTTTGTAATAACTGCTGAGCTCCCATTGAGGTCTCTGACATGTATGTTGGGAGCCAGTGCTGTAACCCACGATTCCTGGCATATTGTATAAAGGTACACTCTGATTCCTCTACTCTTTTTCCTTCTTACTCTCTTCACCTATGAAAACACAAGATGACAAAGATATTTTTCAACTGTTTATTCATAAGTCTATTAGACGTAATGCGTCAGAAAAATGTTTTTGGAATTTTTCGTTTGCTACTCATTCACACTGTTAGAAGGACATAAGTTTTCACACTTTATTTGACTTTTTTCTCCTGTCTTTATTTTGTACATATAATTAGTGAGTTTTATGTTTCTAAATGAATCAGGAAGTGGTTATTTTGACAATGTGAAACAATTACAGTGGTCTTTTAAAAAAATAATTATATTGTAGCTTGTGTATGTGTGATAAGTTGTTCTCAGTGAGGATTTGTTAACTTGAAATAACTATTATCTCCATTGATATTTAGAAAAATACTATTTAGGTTATTCTAGAAAGTTGTGGAGAATTTGAAGCAGTTTGACTCTTTCAGAAGGGAAAGGTCCCTTTTAAAATAGAACTTGAAAGTTTATATAAAGAGGTGTTTGGAATTTTGTAAAATGATAAGAGAATTCATGAATTTTTGTTTCTTCATTAATTATTTCTAGTGTCTTGTCTTGTTCCTGAATGGGCTCTGTATTTGTGTTGAAGTTTAATCATTGACAAAAATGCAAATGCACCTTCTTAGATTTGTCATTGGCACTCTTTTCTCAGCATCCCTTCAATATTATTCTGGGGTCCTTGAGAGTTGGAAGAAAATGCCATAATTCTTTCATGTAACAGACTAATAATACTACAGTGAATATTATTGTGGTAATGGACTTTGTTTTTGTCCTTTCAGGGTTTGAAAGTATTCTTGAAGGGCTGTTCGGACCTGCATTATTAAAAGATCTCAGTTTATTTAAAGGTATTCAAAATATTTTTGGTAATTCAAATTCTTCCCAGTGACATATATGATAACTTTGGTGATTTAAGCCTCAGTCTCCTTTTAATTCAAGGTTTCATGTGGATTGAAGCTATATCCATGTAAGCATCTTTGTGTGCTTAGTTGATATTGTTTATATATATGTATGAATAACTTATTAAGTAGTGAGCAGTTAGGAATTAAGAATTTTAAGACAATATGACCTATCTACCACTTGATGTGGTCTTTGTTATAATAAAACTTTTGAAATTCTGATTTATTTTCTGAAAAATTCTCTTTTATGATTACTAATTTGTTACTACTTTTTGCAGACTGTGAACCTGAAAGCGTTTCTGATTGGACTTTTGATGAAAATTGTCTGTTCTGCTGCTTAAGAAGAGATAAAGTAAAGGTAACCAAGAAGCTCATGAAACTTTTGTTTAATGTGGTATTTTAAAGTTTTCATTTAAAAAAAATTTTATTACTTTGAGGACTTGTAGGAAAAGGAAGGTAGGTTTCATACTTATAAAAGGATTTGATAGTAACTCTGGGTTTTGCAGTTTAAACTATTTATAGTCTTTTGATTTGCCTACTGAGAATAGCATTGCTTTATTTATATAATGCATTGCTTTATTTATATACTTCACTCAGCAGAATAATTAACTAGATCTCAAACTGTTGTATTTATTTTATAGATAATGTGTATTGTAATTCCAGTAATTGGAGTCATTTGTGGTACAAAAAGAACAGTAACATAAATCGAGATCAAACTGTTACTAATTCTTGTAGATGTATGATGTACTGTGGTTTATGCTTTAATATAAGATGTTTCCTCATGATTTCTGGGCATGAATGCTGTTTATATTCAGTTGTAGAAACTGTCTTTGCATTTCTGTTTGTTGCTTTGTGTTAAATATGAAAAGAATTTTGGTTTAGACAACATTTCAGTTGTTGGAATGTTTATTAATAATGGTTTACTGTCTTATATTTTCTTTCATGATACTTCTGTTCCCTGTTTTAAAGCCTTGGAAACGTTTCGATTGTCCACTATACACTCCAGCTTCCAATCATTGACCAGCCTCTATCAGTTTTTTCCTCATGACAGATTTCATTCTTTTTCATTTTCACATCATCACTGTATTTCAGATCATTAGCATTATTACTGAACTACTGAAATAGCATGATTAGGCTCTCTTAGTTTTCTTCAGTTTGTTAAATTTTCCTGCAAGGTTAAACTTCTTCCCTCACCCCTCAGATAGTATAGAAATGTTACCTTATTCTTATTTATTTATTTATTTATTTATTGAGTTGGAGTCTCACTCTGTTGCCCAAACTGGAGTGCAGTGGCTGCTCTCGGCCACCACAGCCTCACCTGCTGGGCTCCGGGATCCTTCCGCCTCAGCCTTCCGAGTAGCCGGAATTACAGGCATGCACTACCATGCCTGGCTGATTTTTTGATTTATTGTAGAGATGCGGTCTCGCTGCCCAGGTGGGTCTCGAACCTACGGGCTCAGGCAATCCACTCACCTCAGCCTCCCAAAGGCACGGGATTACAGGCTGAGCTACCAAGCCTGGCTTGTTACCTTATTCTTAGTTGTCAGTTGTCTTCTGGATTTATTAGCTAAGCACTCAGTGTCTCAGTCCTCTCCACATTTTAGTCCACTTCCTTTTCTAATGCTGCTCCACTAGTCTTCTGTATAATTTCCTTTCAGCTAAAGTGGTCTGATCATTTGTATTAAACAATATGCTTCTGCTAGTCTTGGACTAAACCATTGCAATACCCATTCTCTGTAGCTTGAAACACCCTTCCTTTTACTTCAAGCCCTACCCTTCTGTTTGTGGTATCTCTTTTTTATTGCTGTTTCAAACTTTCACACAGTTGCCATAATAAATATTTTCTGTATTGTTCCTTATATCGTTTCTTATATTGTTCATTCTTTCCTATGCTTGAATCTTGCATTGCTGACTACATTGTCAGCTGCTGAAGATGACACCATGCTGTATGTTTGTGTCCCTGCACTTAACCACCGTACCACTATTTATCCTTTTTGGCAAGTTGCTTTAAAATCTGAAAGCCAACATGTAGTCAATTTAAGAGCTTCTTAATGTCCCCCCCTCTTTTTTTTAAATAGAGACTGAGTCTCGCTAAGTTGCCCAGGGTGGCCTCAAGCAATCCTCCAACCTCAGTCTCTCAAAGTACTGGGATTACAGGTGTGAGCCACCACATCCAGCTAATGTTCTTCTTTTATGGCATCTTTTACTTATTTTCTACATGAAAAATTTGTTGCTGTGACTATCTGGGATGGTCTGTTTTCACTGAGGAAGAAGATGTTTTGAAATTTAATGTGGTTTGAAAAAGAGACCAGAAAGTAAAGCAACATTGTTAAACTTTCAGCGAAGTTGAAGTTCATCATTTAAATTCTGTATGTGTACATGTGTGTTGGCATGTTGTGGTTATTTATTGAGCAAGTCATTTAATAGGAATTTTTGCAGAATAGAGGAAGGGACAGTTATTAATATTTTTTACAGGCTAGGATTAGGAGAGCCATTCTGTGTTTGGCAATTGTGTCCAGTATATTCTAGTAATACGATCGAGAGTTTTCCATTGCTATATGAGGGTAAAATATTATTATTGTTTTGGGAGACAGGGTCTTGGTATGTTGTCCAGACTGGAAAACTACTCTTGGGCTCAACTGGTCCTCTCATCTCAGCCTCCCAGGCAGCTGGGATTATAGGCACGCACTACCCTGCCTGGCTTATATGAACAGTTGTACAAGAAAATCACAAATAGAAAGTCATGGAATGACATAGCATTTTAAACAGCTGTCTTATAGTTTATAGTTTTAATTGGTTTTCTAAATAGAATACAAGGAGGTTCTGGACCCCCCAAAAGCTGGCATTTATATATAAAAAACGGTATTTATTCTTACATGTTTAAACTTCAGTCACCCTTAAAGTACTCTTTGATGCAATACATCTATCGAGATGCTTTTTCCACTGTTCAGAACAGTTTCTGAACTTATCAATTTTGGTGTCTTTAAGTGCTTCTGCCGTTTTTTTTGTTTGTTTGTTTGTTTCACCTTTTCCATATCAGCAACATGTTTCCCTTTGAGGAGTTTTTTCATTTGGGGAAACAAAAAAGTTGCTAAGGGCAAGAGCAGGTGAATAGGGAGGGTGGGCGCAGGAATCCCGCCATTTTTGGTCAAGTACCGAACACTTAGTGCGGTGTGGGCAGGTGTGCTCGTAAGTCAGCCATCATGAAGTAGGCAAACACGTTGAGAGAATCTTCAAAAAAATTCACTGAAGCCAAATGCAGTCTCTCACAACAATGCTAGCTGGTACACTGATGCCGGTGGGTTCCTAGAACACTTATCTAGTGAGAAAACCTGTACTACAAGGGTCTGTCCTCCAAATATAATTTTGTTTTGTTTTTGTTTTTGTGAGTTGGAGTTTCACTCTGTCACCCAGGCTGGAGTGCAGTGGCATGCTCACGGCCACCACAGCCTCGACCTGATGGGTTCAGGTGATCCTTCTGCCTCGGCCTTCCAAGTAGCTGGCGCATGCTACCATGCCCGGGCCATTATTTATTTATGTATTTATTTATTTATTCATTAATTGATTAATGACTTATTTATTCATTAATTGATTGATTGATTGTAGAGATGAGGTCTCACTGAGTTGCCCAGGCTGGTCTCAAACCCCTGGGAAAAGGCAATTCTCTTGCCTCCACCTCCCAAATTCTGGAATTAGAGAGGTGAGCCACTGCACCTGGCCAGTTTTATTTTTTGGGAGGTGCCACCTTGTTTATCTGTTTGGCAACTCAGCTTGTTCTGGAAAAGCTTTCTCCATTAGCCACTCTACTACCCGTCTTTTGGCCTTTATTATTTTTGGAGACAGTTATATATCTACAATGGAAAATAGGGAAGGAGATAGCCTGTGTAGTATGAATTGCCACGTGTGCAGCATTTCTTGAGTTGTGTTAGATTTAAAGTGGTTATGCTAGGATTCTTGATATGTGGAATATCTTGTCTGAGAAGGACTACAGTCTAGAACTTAAATATATTCACTGGGTTAAGGCTTGCATTTTAAAACTGGCTTAAAACATTAAAGAAGAAGCCAGGCTCGGTGGCTCAGCCTGTAATCCTGCGCTTTGGGAGGCCGAGGTGAGTGGATTGCCTGAGCCTGCAGGTTCGAGACCCACCTGGGCAATTTGGCAAGACCTCATCTCTACAATAAATTAAAAAATTAGCCGGGCGTGGTAGCACACGCCTGTAGTTCCAGCTACTTGGAAGGCTGAGGTGGAAGGATCGCCGAAGCCCAGCGGGTCGAAGCTGCGGTGGCCGGGAGCGGCCCCTGTACTCCAGTCGGCGACTCAATGAGACTCCAAATCAAGAAAAGAAAACATTAAAGAAGGAAAAATCTGGAGATTATTGTAATAGGCAATAGGTGGCAACATATAGCATGGCATTGGAATCTTGAGTTTGATGTTGGCGTAGTAAGATAGTCTAGATAGCGTTTAAAAAATTAGGGAGAAGCCGGGCTTGGTGGCTCAGCCTGTAATCCCGCGCCTTTGGGAGGCTGAGGTGAGTGGATTGCCTGAGCCCGTGGGTTGGAGACCCGCCTGGGCAGCGAGACCTCATCTCTACAATAAAAAATCAAAAAATCAGCCGGGCGTGGTAGCGCATGCCTGTAATTCCAGCTGCTTGGAAGGCTGAGGCGAAAGGATTGCTGGAGCCCAGCAGGTCGAGGCTGCGGTGGCCGGGAGTGGCCACTGCACTCCAGTCTGGGTGACAGAGTGAGACTCCAACTCAAAAAAAAAAAAAATTAGGGAGAAATATTGGTCTGATATTTGGGAAAGAGATGGAGGTTATGCATATTTTTATTTAACTGAATTTTCAGTAAATTCCAAAACTGTTAGGATGGATAAAGTACATTATTTATATTTACTTTTTAAAATACATAAGTGAAAACTACTAAGTGGCTTCTTTGGGAAATAAACCAGAGATTCACCTAGCAATTAGTAAAACAATTGTTGAATTACACATTAGTTATAAATTAAGAAATGAGAAGGGTCAGAGAGATTAAGTTATGGGAAAGTAGCATAGCTGGAATTTGATCCATGTTTTTAGAATACATGCATTTGTTTTGTTTTGTTTGCAGTCGGAGTCTCACTCTCTTGCCCAGGCTGGAGTGGCAAGGCCTCGCTCTTGGCCACCGCAGCCTTGACCTACTGGGCTCAGGCAATCCTTCTGCCTCAGCCTTCCAAGCAGCTGCAACTACAGGCGCAGGCTACCACGCCCAGCTTATCTTTTGATTTATTGTAGTGGTGAGGTCTGGCCAAGTTGCCCAGGCTGGTCTCAAGCCCGTGGGCTCAGGCACTCCGCTCACCTCGGCCTCCCAGAGTGCTGGGAT